ATGGAAGATGAAGCAGATGAGGATGACTTTTTCATGGGTGAATTGGTTGATGAGTTGGCGCTTGACGACTTGCTTGTTGAGGACAAACAAGATTTTCGCACGGTCGCAGATGCAGTTCAGAAACGCAGAATTCAAAGCGTGCAGCAGACCTGGCAAGCGATCAAGAAGTCGCAGCGAGCAAAGGCTAAGGCCAAAGCAAGGGCCAAGGCCAAGGCCAAAGCAGAGGCCAAAGGGAAAGGCAAAGACAACGGAAGCATGAGAAAATTTCTTCGCCCACGTGTCAGGAAGCGGCCCAGGGCTCCGGATGAAAATGGTCGAGAGGGATCAGAGCCGCAGGCAGACGACCAGGATGTCGACATGGAAGGCAGAGTGCCAGGGAGCAGGAGCATCTCCCTGAGCAGGAGCCTGACAACCACGTGGAGGCAGGAGCCAGGCCCTGCTGCTGTGGTGCCGGAAGAGGTGGCTGCAATGCCTCTGCCAGCAACCGGAGACCGGGTTGTTGTACCCCGTGGCCCGCAGCAAGGTCAGCTGCAGCGGGATCGTGACACCCGAGGGGTACGGAGACCTGTTGAATGCCCAGAGTGTCCCAAGGTCGCTGGCGACACTAAGAACGACCCGAATCCTGAATCCTGGTGGCACGGACAAAGCAATTTGGATTCGCCGATTTCGTGTGAAAGCCGGCGGTATCTTGGAAAGATTCATCAATCTGCTCGGTTTAAGTTTACACAGCAGGCAACTAAGCCAACTTCGTCGTGCTTCGACGTGGTTGCCTTTCAGTTAAGTTAGTTGACCGGACACTGAATGCGTAGCTAACCTGCTGTGTTTGTGTTACATGGTATGAATGAATGTGTGTCTGGCATTGGAGGCGAGTGGTCCCACGACGTGCCCTATCACTGAAGCGTGCATCTTCCAGGATGGCAGAAGAGCAAGCCCAACAACCTGTCATTGACCACAGGCCCTGCTGTGGCCCGAACAAGACACCTGCCGACTAGATGATGCATCGTGTGCTGGATCAAAAATGTGTGTGTGTGTATGCATTCATTGTAGCAGGCCCTGTTAGATTGGAATGCGTCCTGATTGTTCAGCGCTGTTGGTTCCAAGTGTGAGAGAAAAAGAGCTAAGCGTTTGCAGTTTGCAGCAACTCAATAATGCTGGTCCAAACACAAGTTCTCGACACATCGTCCCACAAAGACACTGTATACTAGAGGTGCTGGGTGCTTCTGAACAGAAGCAAGTTTGGTCCGATCTGGCAACAGTCCAGTCCGACATAAAAAACCATGGAAGCACAGCAACGCCAGGTCTTTCGAAAGGTAGTGTCGGTGGGAACAGGTCATCTACTGGCCAGGAAGTTCTTGCAAATGTGGCACAGATCGTTCGAAGACCAAGTCGTGCATATCATTCAGACACTGAATGATTGACTGGTTGCCAAAAGCCCTGCAACAGTAGATGACCAAACCAATTGCCACACCGACTACTTGAAATCCCGGCTCTATTGGATTGCGAAGAATCTCGCCGACTGCAAACAGAATTCGCTCGTCTACACCAGCTACATGCAAGAACTCACAATCCTCAGGAAAATCGTTGAAGTGGACTTGACCTGGGAGCCAGGCTGGTGGCTGAATTGAATTCAAAGGTGTGTTCACCCCCCGTACATGTTCCTTGATGTTTCACCCAGTTTCGGATTGGAGACGGAAGGCAGAGTGCCAGAGTCAGAGAAAAGGCAGAGTGCCAGACGGTGTCGTTTCACCCAGCAGTGGACCTGATACACAAGGCTTGCTGTACGGCGCTTTGCCTCCCCTGGTTTCTGCTGGCTTTCGACAGTTCGATTCGCTTGTACAACAAATTAACTGCCATACTAGAGTCGCAGACCTCCGCTAAAAAAGCATCGCCCCGCGCATCCAACGACGCAAAACCTCACGCAAGCCGATGAACGGCTGATGAACGACACTCTGTGCCACGTCTTCTTCATCTTGTACATCATCGAGCTTCTTCTGTTTTTAACAACGTTGAAAGTGTAAAAGCATGTTTAAACACTTTAATGCCTAAAAACCTTGAAACTTGTAAACCTTTTCTTGTCCCACAAACACATATCAAAAAGCTTTATTTGCTTGTATTTGTCTTTCCTTGTCTGGATTTGTTTCTATGTGTCCGGGTTTGTACGTTATCGTCTTTATTTGGCACTATTTGCTTGGACTGTCAAAAACGCCTCGGGGATCTAAGCTCTGTGGTTCTCGACCTTTGCAAACGATCAATGAATGAAGGGTAGCAGGATCTGAAGTTTACCACAACACGAAAATCTGAAAATGTAAACCAACTACGCACGATTACGACCTACTGATATCGTGCTGCCTCTCTTGTACCCTTCGGCTTTACGTGATACAACACATGCACACTTAGCTATGTTCAACCGGCCCATTGTGTGAAGCCTTCTACGTCCGAGGCAAACACCCCGGCAAACAGTGGGAGCCGAAGCCAGGCATAAGTAACATGACTTTGTTGCATAAAGGGTTCGTGTTGGTTGCCTCTCTGCTTCTGCATTGCTGCAAATTTATGTCCTCCGTGCTTGCCGAGTTTTCTGGCCTGCGACACTACGCCACACTCCATCGCTCGCACCGGAAACGACAACCCACTATTGCTCAGCACTCGAGGAAAACAACACAACCGAAGGTGACACCGCGGCGAAGGTTGAAACATGCGTGGGTTTTTCCGCCTGGGATCCAGCTTCTTTCGAGAGGGCACCAACGAGAGAGAGAAAGTATACGGCCGTTTTGGCTCAAGATACGATCGACTCGAGGCCGCGACCATCCTCTTGCAAAGTTCACTCCTGCTCTTTTCGCTTCGTTTGCTCCACCCTACTGCCATCAGCAGCACGACCGTCAACAACATCGTTGCTTACGGAATGTGCTAGCATGCCGCCTCAGAGCACATGGGCCCCAATTGCGGAAAGCACGTCGTCACCGGGGGGTCTCTCGCAAGCGGCCCTGCCGGTGGGCATCGGCGTGGAGATGCTGCGAGTTGTCGTCATTCGAAGGAACTGCAGCGGGAAAACCCTGAGCCTGTGTGATCCTGTGTGGGGAGATTCACCAGGCCATCAGTCCGGAACATGCAAAGTCGACAGATGCTGAATGAACCTCGCGGGGAAACTGGGTGGGTGCTGGGGGAGGTGACGGAGTGAGGTGGCTGGGAGGGTGTGTATTGTCCTCGTCCAGCAGGGTGATCCATCTTCCGCGATTGATGGCGCGGCTACGAAGTGATTGGCCATCTTTCATGCACCTGCAACCGAAGTTGCATTTAGCAATGGGAAGGCAGCAAGCCCACTCATCTGTTGATCAACCTGCAAGAAAAGCTCTGGGCAACGTTTCATCCCACGTGAATTGCTTGCCGCTTCCTTGGGCTCTTGGTTGGGTCGCCAGCTTGCTTGGTTGCTTCTCTTGTGTGGTTGCGCTGGCTCCTTGCGGGCCGCGCTTGTGCTTTGCCCGTTTCGGGGTATTGGCACCTACAAAGTTTTATCTGCAAGTGTGATCACCACGGTTTTCCGTCATGGTGCCGTGTTGGCCCTCGGTGGGGATGGTCGGTGAGTATGCCGATCAGCTGTTTGAGAGTACTTGGGGCAGGTGAATTACTTCAGTTGTTGTGTCCCGATCTTTTGCACTTTTCTCAGCGAAATCAAGGGCACGTGCATCTGACATGAGGGCATGTGCAGTAAGTAGGCTTCCACTAAATAATGCAAGTGCATCCGATTCGTTGGCGGCCTTGAACAACAACTTGCACCGCATCCTCACCACAGGCCTGACATCCACCGCAAAGACAGCTATTTTGCATTGCAGCCTCAACCCCCACCACATCACACACCGCCATGCAACAGCAAAGCCGTCAGCATCAAGACAGGGACCGGCAAGAATTCAACCGAAGCCTTCATACCGGTACTGTGCGAGGAGGGCGCCATCGGGCGGAAGTCTATGGCTTCGCTGGATTCAGAAGAGGCTGCAAAAGCTCTTGCGATTGCATGTTCAGTGGGTTCCCAGGTGCCTGAGTTTGAACAGGCTTTAGATTGTGGGACCAAGACTACTGCATCCCGCGAGGAGGACCGGAACGGCGGAATCGAGCACGGTGATTCTCGCCTGTGCCTGACGCGACCTGGCCGATGTAGCATTGGGCTGAAGAGTCAAGCAACCGTGAGCGTGAGACATCGTTTCCGATTAACCCACGTCATGTCCCCGAAGATGCTGCCAGGTCCGGGATGGCAGGGCTGAGCCAAGCCGAGATCCGTGCCATAAGGCCAGCACGGTGGCAGTTTCGGGGAGTGGCTCGCGACGTGCTGGATGAGGGGGGGTCTGGAGCTGGTATGTCGGTTGATGCCCTTGACAGTCAGCACCATCAACAGAGCCTTGGTTCCAGGCACAGGCTGCGGGTGAGATTGGGCAAGATCTCCTCCATGAAGCTCGTTTCAGGGAAGAATCTGCAGCCACGGCTCACATAGCAATGCTTTGTTTGTGGGAGTAGGGCTTGTACAGCAACCCACATCTTCGTCGGCAGCTTCAGGTCTCAGCCGAGGCTTCCACATGTGTTGCGATGCTTCAGTCATCCCCATACCCCATGAAGCGAGTTGGCCTCGATTGGGCTTTGCAGGCACGATGCCGTGTCAGGCCTGGGATTGACGAGCTACACGGTCGAGGACGTTTGGCAAAGCAAAGCCGAGCGAGTCGCAGCTCCTCATGAGAGCATCCCCAGCGCCCCCGGCAGGACATGAATGATTTGGTGAACCACCTGGCAACATTTGTTGGTCTGGACTTCGAAGATCTGCCGGAAGAGACTCTCAGACCCATCGGGCGTTGTGACGGCGAGAGCGGAACCGTCTGACATTTATTTGAAGGCGAAACCCGAAAAATGAAAAGCCCGCCCTTAGTTGTCTCCTGCGGTTTGCTCGCGGTCCAAAACTGGCACGAAATGTGACGGGGATTACATCCCCGCCTCAAATGCACCCTTCCATCAAAAGTCATGTCCCACCTTGCGACAGTTGCCGACCAAGTTGTACTACCAAACAGCACCAAGGAAGGGCTGGGGTGGCACGATTGGCATAGACTCGATGTCGACCGGTGCCTGGGCGAAGCACTGACATGCTGCGCTATTGTGACCACACTTTGGTTCCCAGCAAGGACTTAGACGAGTCACACAGGGTCAGAGAAGCGCGTGCAGCAGCACACATCTCCCGAAGGTTAGTCTACTGTAGTCCTAGTGTCGCTCGTCTCTGCTGGTTGAGGTATCAGCATGTTTGGCTTTGGTGGGGCCAGCGAGAGGCAGAAAGACTTCAGCGAGCCGATCTGGGAGTGGCCCACTCTCAAGGACAGGCCGCAGATGACGCCACACGCAGGCTCTGAGCCTCAGGCGACTGGTGAACCTGGCAGGACGGAACGAACGGCCACCTAAGCCATCAAGTCTCTTCTCACAGTCTCCCACCGCAGCCCGGCAAAAGCGCATTGACGAGCAGTCGAGTCCGAAAGAAAGAAAGAAAGTCCGGCAGCCTTCCATGAAAAGCACCCATCACGGAGCTCATCAGGTTGCACCATTCCAACACCGCGAGCTCGCACACCTCGGCCGAAAAGCACGAGAGATGCAACTACAACTTGGTGCCCAGGCCAGGTCTTTGCCCGGAAACCGTAGTCACGCCAAGCACGAGTCTTGCATGTAGCCTGGCGCAACGCGTCAGGATGCGTCAGGGCTTCCTCTGAGGTGAGGGTACAGCGGAATTTTCGATGCCCTTGTGTTGGCAGGCAGGTGCTCATCGAGGTCATGATGGCGCAAGAAGGCGACCCTTGGATTCATGAGACTCCTGCCCGGGCCTGATCAGCAGAAGCTCGCTCGGCTGCGATCTCTCAGTCTCAGTGAGGACATCCATAAGCGGATCTTCGGTGCGAAGTTGCTTCAGCAGTTCAAGGCAGACTGCCATGACACATCCTTCCCCCGGAGCTGCCAGAGTCGACATGCGCAGGCTGCAGATGTCTCTAGAGTCTAGATCGGTCTGACCTGCCCACATACGCTTGCCATCTCTGACCAGACTCTCCATCGAAAGCACGGTGAGGCTATCAAAGAAATTCTACTCGCTGGCGACACGAACCGCTTGGCAGCGCAGCTCAATAGTTCGGCCCTCCAGAAATGTGTCCCTCTCACACAAATCGGGCCAGCAGCATTGTTCTGCTACTGCAGACAGTAGGCTTTTCCGTTTCATTGTGCCTTGTTGACTGCCACTGTCGTGGTCCCGTGTGATAAGTCTTCCACCTTTGCAAGCGTGAGACTTTCCATAAGCTCTTAACTATAAGTCTACTGAAAGCTAAACCTTCAACTCAAGGTGGCAGAACTCACTTTCGTCCGCATCAACGACCTTGCAGCACCGCCCGACGAAGCAGCTTGGGCGGCACAGGTGGCACTGCCTGCCAGGCGCAAAAAAAAGAAAAGCTCGGAGTTCCTGTGTTGATACAGGCTATGCAGTAGGCTTATATAATCATGATTGGGTATCAAGGTGGGAAGTAGTCCAGGGTGCATTGCCATATTTGCATGCCCTTTCCACATGGAAGCGCTGTTGAACCACAGAGAGGAACACCAGCTTTCCAAAACATAGAGGGAAAGAAAAAAGCCAGCTGGTGAGCTGGTAAAGCTAGACAGTGATGTCAATCCTGGCGCGAACAAAGCTTGTCGACATCCACCGAGCCGCAAGGGATGAGGGTCGAGTTTAGGATCTAGGGTTTGGGGTTCATGATCTATAGGAATGGGGGGGGGTACCCGAAAATGGGATCATGTATTAGGTCAGCTTGTTGACCTACCTGGAGCCTTTCGTCGGCCTCGTCATTGTGGCGAATGGCATCATGATCGGTTTTCAAACAAGCTCCTTCGCCCAGAGTCTTATGAGGGGTAAGCTCAGGTCTTGAACTGTGCACGCTTCCGATGTTAAGGGTTTTCTGGTTTTTGTTGCAGCCATTCGGTGCAGATACAGACTTGTGCCTTAGTTTGGTGCAGTCTTCAGCAGTATTATCGAAGCAATGCACAGAAGAACAACTAAAGATTAAGCCATGTTTAAACAATGTAGGCATCATGAGACCACGGGAGCAGAGAACCAACACCGATGCACGTCAATTACGAACCCTAGACAATCTGTTGCGCTAACTAAGCAGGAAGGGTGATCGAGAGCGATATTGCAAACGGGAGGGACAGCTGCTTGGTGAGAAGAAAGCATACGATAACGCAAGCAAGGAAGAAAGCATTTTAGCAGCCAGGGTAAGCCAACACTAGACACAGAACAAGCAAGCAGTGTCTCAAGTTCTCTTGTAACTATCTGACCGCAACTTGCCACAAGCAGCCTGCAAGCAATCAGAATCATCGCCAAGAACATATGCATAAATTGTTCAGCATCGGGGCAGCTGAAATCATTTTGCAGGCTGCAACGACTCCATATGTACACGTTTCGGTCACAATAAGACCACAGCCGCACCCAACCACTGCAATGTGCCGGACTCTGTCCCACAAATAGAAAAAACAGGCGTTGAGGTTGCCACCTTAGGTGTCGACTTCTGCTGCTCCACGTTACGGGTGTCTTCGTTCATCGAGACCATGGACACAAGTTTCCGAATATCATCGACACTGCCAAAAGCTTGCAGCATGTTGCGAAGAACACTCATCCATGACACGGTAGTTGTCAGTGCGCCCAGTCAAAAATCGAGAATCCGACAGGGATAACGTGCTGTACATTCAAAGGATCTAGGTCGGAGCTATGCTTCAAGAAGGAGTACATTCTCAACATTTGCTGCCAGGGAGACTTTATTTGCTGTGCCACAGCCTAGTGCCACTGGGTTTTGAGCCTCATTCGTCAGAGCCCCGCATCCCTCTCAGCCGAATGTCGAAGCTACACCTTCCGCACTTTGCCGTGCAATCATGCTCGTTGTGCCTGAGGCCTTGAATACGAGAACTGGTCTGGCTGGGTCTATGTGGAGATCGTTTTCGCCTGCATTCTGCTGCTGGAGCCACATGATCACATGTGCATGGCAATCGCAAACTAAAACGCAGCATTGAGGAGCCACATACATGCGTTCATTCGTACCTGCCAGCATACCTACCTACCCTAGGTTCCAATAATGAGGCCTTCGCCGACAGTCGTTTCCATATGTTGCATTTCCTGGGCTGGAACCCATTTGACGTGTTGTTGAGCCGGTTGGAGTTTTTTCTGTGGTCGCAGAACTTCCGATCAGCAGTGCCGGGCGGATCTTCGTGTTGCTGCGAAGGAGCTTCTGCTGCGCCTCCGACTGCTCAAGTGCCGCGACTTCTGGTGTGGTGCTGAGAGGCGATTTCGGGAGGATGCAAGACGTACACGACCGAGGAATCATTTGGGGTTTGGGAACTTCACGAGAGCTTTGCGGCTTGCGGGTGAAGATGTTGGGAGAAGGTAGCCGGAAACACTAACTGCGCAGAGTCGGGTTGACAACCTGTGCCCGTGTGCCTGCGAGGATCGTACATGCAGAGCGCTCAACATGTTCATACCTTTATCGAGTGAGTCGTGACGGCTGCAGCGAGATCTCCAACCCAACCGGACTGCAGACTGCTTCCCTTCCGTGACTGCGACGCTTTTTGGGGGTCCCACAAGGGTTTTACAGTTTTACCCTTGAAAGTGGAGCCGGATGTCAACTCTAACTTGAATGCAGCATAGATTCATGAATTTGCGAAAGTATGCGGGTTGAGGAATATCCAAATTCTTCAGAGAAGCACATTGCACATGCCCTGAAAGAAAGATTGGCTCATGTAGAGCGAGTTGACCTTTAAGGATGTGTACCGGTGGCAAAGCCGTTGGATAGCCGCGTGGGTTGACAATTGTGTGACTGTATTGTCAATTGCCCTGTCGTAAACAAGAGCGGACCGCCTTCGGGATATTGTGTCTTGCGCCACTCACGTCGACAGCACAACAGTACAGTACAGACAGTACAGTACTAGCGCCGAGGCGGGAGGCGGTCGAAGTCAGTAGCGATGCTGAGTAGTCGACCTGGCTTCCGCGCGGGTCTGGGGTGTGAAATCCTTAAAAAAAGGGTCGAAGATCAGTGCTGGTGGTTCTGCGAAGACCCGACCTTGTCAGAGGATGTTCGTTTAGCCCGGATTTCATGCATGCCGTTACGGGCCCGTGGGCCTTTCCGCTTCTTTCTGCAGCATTCGTTGTTGAGCTGCATAGTATCTTAGAGTGCACGGCACAGTGTTTCGACTGCCAAGTTCCGTCGTTGACGCCGCCCCAGTTTTGTCGTAGAGTCATTGCGCCCCGTGCATCCACAAGCCTCAACTGTGCCTCAACTTAGTCGTTTTTGCAGGCTATGGAACTGGTTCGATGCCTTCTTGGGCGCAATGGCCATCACAGATGCTGCGCTGCAGCTGATTTGGCAGGCACAAAGCTTTTGCCGGTTCCAAAAATGCCGGTCACACATGCAATTGCCCGAGTCACGTGTTCGTGCAACCGGGAGACTGGCACGTCCTACCTGTAGGGCTCAGCTGCATCGAGCCGTCGAGCTTGCCAATGCGATCATTCCGATGATCCTAGCTTCCGAATGAACGAGGGGCGGCTGGTGGTACCAATGTGTTTGTGGGTTTCTAAATGAGTTCCGGTGTTCGCGACAGGCAAGCACAGAGATGGACGGTGCCAACCTGTTGCGTTTCTGCCGACTGCACCTTGGAAATACACATGCCCGCCGATCTCAGTGATGCATTGCGCTTCGCATCCAGGTGTTGAGATTCTTGTTCGCGATGCAAGGGTCGTGCGTCTCACATAGCACATATACCAAGAAAGTCGTTTGGCCAACGCAACACGACAGACTGGGACCCCTGGTGTCTATTCGGCTTGATCCGCGTCGAAGGTTGCGCTTGGCGCGGATTGTGAAAGTCTTCCGTCTCAAGTTCATGAGCCACTCAGATGTGCATTACAGCGCTAACTGGCACCTGCCTGTGCACAGCCCTAGGAGCTCAGAGTTTGAAGGCTCAGAATCTTCATTCGCAGGTTTGCGGGTTTGGACATGCTTGTGTACTGTTGCAGCCCTTGTAAAGTTAAGACTCTGTCGTCCAGATTTCGGTGGGCGGCTCAAATTGTTAAGTTAAGGGCACGCCGCCCTTGGGTAAAATAGATCAGTGTGCAGTGACATTCAGCCCCTCAAAGTCTCAGGCCATGAGTTCTTAGCCAATACTTTCTTTGTAAGTGTGTTTGCCCAGACACAAACTGGCAGCCCATTCCGTTATGGCGGCCACCTGCATGTGCTGAGTCAAGCCGTTGAAGCCCGGGGTTGATTCCTAGAGCGAAGGAGCAAGCACGGGTTTTGAGAACGAGCTGCTATGGGCACCAATTACGACAATGGCGCATGAGCGGGAAACCTGAAATCACTCCGCAGGGATCGAGTCCCCAAGGTTCCGCACATAGCTTCGTGTGCCTCAAGCAAAACAATGCACGCAACGGTTGGAGAAGGGACAACGGCATGCCAGAATTACGAGTGTGTTGCATCGACATCACGAACCCTTAGTCAGCAGCATTCTGTCGGAATTCACCATGTTCAGTAAGACCTTAGGTTCTCAAGCTCGAAATACCTAGTAGT